TGTTTGAGTCACATTATTTTGGAAGAATGTATTTTGGAATAGTAGATTGACGAAGAATGTGTGGTTGAAAAAAAAAAGTTATTGATATGATGAAAAATATTATTTTATTGAAAAATGTGTGTTTGAAATTGAGAATTGATTTACTGTAGAAAATCAAAATCCATACCAAACAGGCTCCTAAGATATAAATTGTAATAGCTAAACTCTAAAAGCGAAAAGAAAGAAAGAAATGATGAGAAAGTGAAGGAAAAGAAATCTGAGGCAAGTGTTAACACTTTCTCTGTTAGATAAATTTGTCTCGCAACGGTACTAACGGATTACGGCACTTGTATCTTAAGATACAACGGATACAACTTGTGGTAAACACATTTCAAACATATATTTGTCTCGCAACGGTACTAACGGATTACGGCACTTGTATCTTAAGATACAACTGATATAACTTGTTGTATACACATTTCAAACCACAAGCAACAATGGACTTAAACAATTTTCTTTATCTCTACAAGAAAATAATTTTGGAATAGTTTTCAGAGAGTTTTTGATAAAATGCTCCAAATAATATGGGATGCATAATGGACGTCCAAATGTCCTATTTATAGAAGATGAGAGTTTGTGAGTGAAGTGTCACACTCCAAACTCAACAACCTTCACAAAAGGAAGCATCAGTTGCTATCGTTAGCTTGTTGTTGGTGTCTCGCTCGAGCGACAGTCTTATCTGTTCAACAGAAATTTTTTCGCCCCTCTGTCGCTTGAGCGACATTCTCATCGCTCAAGCGCTGGGTGAGTGATGGGGTTAGGCAAATTTTTGATCAATTTTTTCTTCTTTTCTTTTCAATTTCGGACGACAATTTCTCATTTATCTGAAAATGGTTTTGAAATTTCAAATATATTACGACAATCGAATATCGATTAGAACAAGTTAGTCTATTTATATTTATAATTTGACTATCGGATCAAGTCCGAATATTTGATTGAAATTGACACGATTATTTTTCATGTTTTATACTTAACCAAATTTTTTTTATTTTTAAACCAAATTCCAACATAAATTTGGTGGTACAAACTAAAGTCTGAACCTACCATTCCTACACTTACAACTACTACAGAAACTTGAGCAACCAAGAAAACAAGTATAGTCCATTAACGAGTTAATTGTCCCACTGGTGACTGAACTTCTGTTTGTGTTCTCGATTGCTTACTAAAGTTCAATATTTGATCAAATGGTCAAATTGTGGTCAAATCGATAATATAAAATTATCAAAATTTTATATTAATTATATCATAAAAAGTTAAAATATAAATTTAAATAAATATACAATAAACCTCCACCAATTTAATTAGCAAATGGACTTATTGTCATTTGATGTAATAATTTAAAATTATTAAATTCTTTAATTGTTAGTCATGACAGTTAATCAATAGAAGCAAAATATATAATAATATAAATTGAAATGAAAGGATAAGGCACCGCCCACCTTTTCATTCCCATCCACATTCATTTTACCTTCTCCACTGCAAACGTTACCTGCTCCGCTGTAAATGAAGAGTGAAAATAAGAAAAGTCAAGCCACAATTTCTAGACAAAGAAGGTGATATCCCAGTTCCATCTTTTAAGGTAAATTTTATCTTTACTTCTCATTACTGAAACCCCTAATCTTCCAGTATTTTTAACTTTTGAAGGTCGAGATACAGGTCTAAATGTGTAGAAGGAACCTTTCCTTTTCTTTCTCTGATGAAATCAAGTGGATGACTCGGGGAAATCGTGATCGGGTTGGCCGGGTCCGGTTGAACCAGCGGTTTATCGGTTTTGGAGCCGGTTTTAAAAGCTTGATCAAACCGGTATCCTGGCCGGTCGTCAGTTTTTCCCGTTGAACTGGTCTGTCCAATCCGATTTTCATAACATTGTTAAAGTTTAAGATGTCAAGTTTTGATAACTAAACTTATTCAAACGTTGAACATTACTCACAGGTTAACATTCGTTTCAAATTGTTAACGTAATTATTGACGTAGTTAACAAAATGCACATGTGACGTCCTATCACACAGTTAACGAATTATCACATCTTCGATTGCTCATTAAATTTTGATTCGATTGCTTACTAAACTTTGAAAAACGTTCTAAATTGCTTATTGAAGTTTGAGATGGTCGAATTTTGGCCATTAAACTTATAAAAATGATGTCGACTTATTGTTCGTTAAATAATGTGTACCGTAAGCACATTGGTAGCTTAAAAGTAATAAAGTGGACAAGCGAGTCCGGATTGTCTATCCTACGAAAAACGATTACTTAATTACAAAATAGTTAAATTTAAATTTAACTTAGGTTCCGTTCGGGAGGGATTAAAAACCAATTAAAATTGAAAATATGGCCGTTATTGGGTCCCACTCGTCTAATAAAAGTCAACAATAACGGCTATATTTTCAATTTTAATCTGATTTTAATCCCTCCCATACAAGGCCTTATTTTTCTTTAGTTGCTTTCAAGGTTGGAGGGATTTTAAGGCTTCTATTCTTGCTTTTAGCTTCACCGNTGTGTTTCGTTGTTAAAATTAAAATAAAATAAAATTTAAATTTTGCAACGAAACACGTAATAAATTTAATTAAATGAATTTTGCAATGAAATACACAGTAAATTTAATTAAAATTAGGATTTTTCTAACAAAACACACAATTCATTTATTTATATTTATTATGTGTTTTGTTGCAAAATTCAAATTTTAATTTAATTTAATTTTAACAACAAAACACAAAAAATTGATTTTTCAAATGATGTAAATAATTTAAAATTCTACAAAAATTTGTCACAATTAAATTTAACTACTGTGTAATTAGGTAATCTGTTACGCCTCAAAATCGAGGCTCGAGAAGAAGCCCACATTTCAAAATTGCGGTTCAAGAAGCCCAAACAAAAGGCCTGAAGTCACCTCACCTGAAGCGCCCTATGTAAGCAAAAGTTCCACGATCGAAGCGAAGCGCCACAAACTCCATGTACAAAAACAATGTACAAATGATTTAATCCAAGGATAATCGATTGTGGAAAACAAATTTCAGAACCCATTTACAACTTTTCCCGACGCTAAGTTTAATCACACCAATGGATAAGTCTTTAATTTTCTCTGTAAATAAGTCACTTGGGCATTCTATATCATCAATGCGCTCGAAGGAAAATTATTGTATGGAAGTGACCTTAACTTATATTTTAACGAATTTTTTACTACATATAGCTTCTTGTAGATCTTATTAATTTGAATTGAACTCCACGGATTCTGTAAGGTTACTTCGTGTTATCAATGTCATGGGTTTCCATTGAAATATTATAATGTTCCTTTTTGATTCATATACTGTGCAATAGTTATCTTGTGGCATTATGTGCATGTGCATACATATATATGAATATGAGAGAAGTAGCTATGTATAGCTCGTAAAAGAAGGATATTGAAAGCAAGAGATGATAGTGAATACTCAAAGTCAGAGATGACATCTCAAATGAGAAGATAACATTAGATATATATAAGAGAATTGCACTACGATTATACCATACTATTCTTCATGTGGGCAGGGCCGGCCCTTTGGCGAGGCAAAATTGGAATTTGTGCTCTTCCTTTGAATTATACAAAACTTGGCCACAATATCATTTGGTGAATTTTGTTAATTTTTACAACAAAATTATATATTTAGTTTAAACAAAATAATTGTTATATTTAAATTTTAGACCTTATTTGATTTTTTTTTTCAAAATATATTTTTCTTTCTCTTCTTTCAACTGCACATTTTTTAATAAAATAGTATTATATGCAAAATTCAAAATTTTTCCTTATTTTTAATCACACATTCTTCATCAAATCACTATTTCAAAATGCATTTTTTGCAATAAAAAATGGACATCAAACAGGACTGTTAATATTTTATTTCTGACAACGGTTGACGATCCACGGTCGCCCGTACTGACTCAAAATCCTCGGTCCGCCACTACTCTCATACACACACTGGTGTTCGAATACGTAAGTGGCTCACGTTTAAAGCACGTCCTACACCCAAATATAAAAACACTTCATTTACTGACTTGACTGTCGAGTGCACGCGGCTGCCTCCCCCACCACTAGAGAAGGCTACGTATGACTAATGGTTTGTCCAAATGTGTAGGACAAGCTTACGTTGACGTGAGTAGAGTTGGGATCCTATTGACGCATTTTTTGAGGTCAATATAATCATTTCTCATGAGATCGACAACCTTGACTAGTTTGTCCGATTTATTTCTTTTACGCGGTCTGTGCATTTGCAGTACACATTTTTTGACGAACAACAATCCAACATCATTTTTATAAGTTCAGTGGTCAAAATCCGACCACCTCAAAATTCAATGAACAATCTAAATCGTTTTTCAAAGTTTAGTAAGCAATCAAATATGTTTTTCAAAGTTTAATGAGCAATCGAAAATGTGACAATTTGTTAACGGCCTGATGTGCCGTTTACCGGCAAAAACACGAAGGCCGCCACCCCAGACAAACTTTTCATTGCAAACATCGTTTCTCTACAAAAACATGCAAAAAAACACATGCAAGTCTACATCATGAATTCTTTACAATTCTAAATTTAGCCCTGTTTGGTAGGATTAAAATCAAATTTTTAGTAAATTTTGATAGAAGTTGATGAAATGAGTAACTCAAAAGTTGTGGGGTCCATAAAATATGTTATTAAAATTCATTGTTGATTTCGACTTGAATTAAAATCTCGATTTTAATCGGTACCAAGTAGGGACTTAGTCATATAATATTTAAATAAACCTAAAACCCAAGCCATAAAGGTTGTTGAGTACGTACTAGAGGGCACTACATGATTGACTTGGCCGTCGGCATAGGCACCGGAATACTATTCGATTCTCTTGCCAGAAACTATGAAGACAAAGAAAAGATGAGTTTGTAATCACTAATGACACCGCATATGTGGCCTTCATTGAATTGTTATTTGCGCGAAATTTTATGTTGGTCATGAACATGAATTTTATAGCAATTGTCTCCCTATCTATATTTGCTAGTTTCACGTACAAAAAAAAGAAAAAAAAAAGTGACGTAGTAGTCTTGTCATTTGCCTACTAGACTGTCACGCCAATTTTTATATTTCGCAAGTGTACGAATCGTAACAAATAATATAGATATATGAATCCGAATTATTGTTTCCAAGAGAAAATAATTTAATTTCTAAGTTATTATTTCTAACTCCTAAGAGACGAAAAATAGAAATATAGTTTGGTGATTGATTATCTAAATTATTTTAATTATACTAAATTTATCTAAATGCACCCGAATAATCAAATTCGATTTTCAAAATATGAATGTAGATTTTAGGGCTTACAATTTTATTTATGAATTCCTTTTAATTTGCTAATCAAGAGTCACGATTATTTTATTGTATTGTTCGATCGAATTGTTTTAACATATGCAGTTTACCCCTCTAGTGCAAATTGATTCTACTTATATTTCTATGAATCCGGATACACCCTAATTAAATGTCTTCAATTTCTAAAAATTTATGTAACGACTGCACTAGCTAGAAAAGATGTCTCTATTCTTTCACACTAATTACCAAAATTTATTATGTGGTTTAAATTTATAATTTACCTCTCAATTACAAAAGGCACCAGACCACGGACTAAGCCCGTGTTTGGGCTCCATTTTAGAAAAATGTATTTTTCTCTCATCTTTGAAATCACATTCTTCAATAAAATAATATTACACGTAAATTCAAAAAATTTCTTTATCTTTTAACCACATGTTCTTTAAAAAATTATTATTCCAAATTTTATTATATCTGATTTTAAAAATTCAGATATTTTTTTTTTCAAAATTTGATTTTAATGGATCCCGAACAAGAGTAAAGTATTCAGTGCAAATATCTGATTTTTATCAACAAAAACACGCAAAACACAAGTGGCACGGTCTTGACCCTACCGTCGCCGTCGTCTGCCAGCAAATTCCAATACAACACCTTAAGATGCCATGCACGTGTTTTTCCTTTATTTTAGTAGGTTCAAACATCTACGTCATGAATTTTTAATTCTAATATTTTTATATAAACCTAATGACCCATAAGCTAGACTATCCAACAAGCCTTAGCCAAGAATATGGCTCTGCTAGCACTACCATCGCTCTCATTTTCAGGACTGCACCCCGCAAACTCTAAACCAGCAAGAACCCTTTTTCCTACTATTTCATATAAGCATCAAGAATCAGCATTAATTTATGCTAGAAATATTAGGTTACCAAATTATGGCGTCAAAAGAAAAGTTGGAAATGACAGAACGAATATACCAGTACCAGAGTATGAAAAAGACCAAAACTTTAGGAAGATTTTGCTACCTGATGTGGTGGTGAAGAGAAGGGATGTGTTTTGGAGCAGAAAGTGGAGTTTTTGGGATGTGTTCTCCCTAGGTTGGATGGTTTTTATACATCTGCTATGCCTTCTTGCTCCCTATACATTCGACTGGGGTGCTTTTTGGGTAGCATTTGCATTATATATAGTCACTGGCCTTCTTGGTATCACTCTTTCTTATCACAGGCATCTTTCTCACAGGAGTTTCAGAATTCCTAAATGGCTTGAGTATTTTTTCGCATATTGTGGGGTTCTTGCCGGTCAGGTCAGTTGATCTTCGCGTTTTAAACTTTGTTTGTTACTGAATTTGTATTATGTGAAAACTCGAATCTTGATTTTTTCAGAGAGACCCAATTTTTTGGGTAAGCACTCATCGGTACCATCATCAGTTTTGTGATTCTGAAAAAGACCCACATAGCCCTATTGGAGGATTCTGGTTTAGTCACATGGGTTGGATATTTGACTCAAACTCTATTGTCGAAAAGGTAATTTGTATTTTACAATTCTTTGACCACTCGATGTAGCATAAAAGAACGAGCAGTCGATAGGGATTTTGAGCAAAAATTTTGTCGTGGAATTTAAATAAATTATTATTTGTAAAAATGGCTACTCTTACATGAAAAATGTCAACAAAAAGATTTTGGGTCCGTTCTCTTTACTATTTTCAAGTCTTTTTTTATTTTCAATTTTTCAAAACAGTGAAAATGTTTTCTCTTTTCCATTTTCGAAAACTCGTTTTTGAAAACAAGTTAAAAATTTATAAAGAAAACCTAAAACGACAAATCAATTATAATCAAGTCAAAATTTTCAAAACGAGTTGTGTTTTCAAAATGCCAAAAAGAACACGTTATCAATAATCTCAAAATGGACACTCAAAATACAAAACCTAAATTGAAATCAAAATTCAAAACACAAAATTGAAATACAAAGAGAACAACCCCGTAGCGTTTAACCTTCAGTCATCCAAATGCTTTTTATTTTATTTCCTTTTTTTTATTAACCGAAACATCTAAAAATCCAAGCTGGAATTATGCATTTTATTGAAAACAAGGAATATTACATTCAAAAGGACGGATCATTTCTTCTTCTGATTTGTTTACAAATTTAATCTCTAACGTAAATTAAACACCCTAAGAACATGAGAAAGAAAGAGAAACATAAAATAAGTTACTTTCAAAAAATAATTTTTACTTAAAAAAAAAAAAANCATATCAGGGCACTTGTTCAGATTGACAGATATGATTTGCCCAGTATTAGAGTTTAAGTACTTTTTTATTGCTTTTTTATTTTTGCTTACACTCGTGCTTTTTTGTAAGGGAGTTGTACTCCTTTTTTTGCTGCTCGTCTATTATTCTTTAATTTCACTGTAAGGAAAGTATTACTTCCTCATATATTCTTTGTCATTGATATCATTTGTAACCACGGTATTCCTCCGTCACAAGTGAGGACATATTAATAAAATTTCGGAGGTATCGCCCTCCTTCTTTAAAAAAAATAAAAAAATTGACTTTCTTATAGTATTAGTTACTCTCCGGGATTTGCAGTGTGGAGAACCCAACAATGTTGGAGATTTAGAGAAGCAGCCTTTCTATAAATTTCTTCAAAAAAGTTGTGTAATCCATCTACTTGCACCTGGAGCAGTATTATATGCATTGGGAGGACTTCCATACTTAGTCTGGGGATTTGTAAGTGTAAACATTATTCTTTGTGGCCTTGAGCATGATTCTTTCATTTAAGGGTGTGATCGATACACACACAAATAAGAATATAATATACTACATATGACAAAATAATATATTCTATGCAATATTTGTCGTACACAAGTTTTACATATATCTTCCGATATATTATACATTTGACTATCAGAGTAAGTTTATGACATGTATTTTATAATTGAGCAATTATTAACATGTAAATGGCAATGCAGGGTGTGCGATTGGCGTGGGTGTACCATATTACTTGGCTAGTGAATTCAGCTTGCCACGTTTGGGGAAAACAGGCATGGAATACGGGTGATTTTTCCAAAAATAATTGGTAATTTTTCAACATTTAACGGTATCACTTTTTTTTTTCTTTTCTTTTTTTGCCAAGTTACTTTTCGAAAAATGAGTCATAGATAAAAGAATTATACTTATAGATCCTACAAAATGTATAATTAAAATTAAAGTTTGACTTTAAAAGATAATTTTTTAATTTCAAAAGAAAAAAGAAAAACTCAATCACAGGCTATATTATAAAATACAATTACTTTCTTCCTCAACATTCTCGAAATTTGTCAAACACCGGTAACTAAACAAAATATCGTAAGTTTTAGTGGGGAATTTTTATCCTGCCAACTGTGGATAGAAGAGCAGATCTGCTAAAATTATACTTTCTCGACCTATCTTAAAAGTCAGAAAATTTGAATGTTTGGCATGCAGGTGGGTGGCTGTGCTTTCATTTGGAGAGGGTTGGCATAACAACCACCATGCCTTTGAATATTCTGCTAGACATGGACTAGAATGGTGGCAGATTGATATGACTTGGTACCTTATAAGGTTCCTTGAAGCTATTGGATTGGCAACTGATGTGAAGCTTCCAACATCTGCCCAAAAGCAAAGGATGGCTTCGACCACTGAGGGTAATCCGTGATGAAGACATTAATTTTGAAGAAATTTATATTAATTTATGTCAAATTTTATTATTTTTAGAAAAAGTTCGAATCTCTAACAATATAGAGAAAATGAAACTAACGGAAAGCCTATTGGAGATGCTTATACTTCACATATATTAATGAGTATGCAATGTGCAATGTGTAGGGGCATTCACGGTGAAGCTAGAAGTGTATGGTCCTCATCTCATCTCTCACTCTTTGAAGTCTCCAGTACAACCAACCTCATTTACAAATCATGTGCACTAATTAATAGTGGTGTAAAAAGTCTTGTGTTGAGACCATACAATTCATTATTATTGGTCACTCAAAAATCAAAGTCCTGTTGTGTGTAGTCTGTGGGTAGAAAAGTCCTGTTCTTTTATACTTCTCGTTCACGTGGCTGCATCATTCCTCTTCTCTACCTTGTGAACTGATTTTGTCCTCAGTTCTCCTTTCGTAAGAGAATTCACCTTCTCTTTTACAGACCGTCGACCAATAACTTTTCATTGCAATTATTTGCATCAGCATGGATCTTGACCCTATCATCATCATCCTGTCTGGAAAATTTAAATACAACCTTTAAGTTGCCATGAACGTGTTTTTCCTCCTTTATTTTTCATTTTTTTATTCGTAGGTTCAAACATCTACAATATGAATTATTAAGAACCTAACAATCCATAAATTAGACTACACAACAAGCCTTAGCCAGGAAAAAAATGGCGCTGCTATCACTACCTCCAAACCCTAAACCAGCAAAAACCTTTTTTTTCGTACTATTACACATAACTGACATAAGCATCAAAAATCAGTATTTATGCTGGAAATATTAGGATACTACATAATTAATTCCCTAAATTATGGTGTCAAAAGAAAAGTGGGAAATGACACAACGAAAACGCCAATTGTGAATGGGAGTGGCATTTTAATGGATATTAACACAATAGTATTAAGAGAATGCACGAATAAAAATAAGCTTGTGAGAAGCAGAAAGTAAGGCTTCGGTAGTGAAGTATAGAAATCAAATCTGGCAATTAAAACATGTTAGATATTGTTCAAATTAACAATGAGAAGTAATTTTGGAAGTGATGAAAGAGGTTAATCATGAGAAAAACAAGTGAAAACAAAACAAGAATAAAAAACGGCGAAGGCCGAAAAATAGCCTGGGCAGTCATCCGGCCTTATGTTGCAATTACAGTAGCCATTTTGTTGAACTGCGTGGACGCCCAATTTAGTACAAAAAATTTGTCCATTAGGGTTTTGAATTCTGGAGTCGTTTTGAAGGGTTTCACATCATTTTGGCTTGGTTTTTGCACATTTTTGTGCATGGTGATTGTAAGTAATTCAAGTGGTTTTCATGATTGAAACCACAAACATTGAATTGATCCCTTAATTTTTAATTTTTAAGTTTTTTTTTAATTATATTCTTTAGGTTCCTGTTTTTCAAGTTTTGTTTGCTCGATTCAAACTTGGATTAAGATTTATTTAATTCTACAAACTATTTGCCATAAAAGCTTTGAAACATTTACCTCGGTGGCAGCAAATATCATTTGAGGAAGACGATTTATAATCGTTTTCAAACATTTTATTTTAGCGATTTTTTATTGTTGGTTTTATTTTCGTTCTTCATCAACTTTATTCAACGAAACCAAGATAAAACTGAAAAAGAAAAAGAAAAGAAAACTGTAAAAATTAATATCAATTTAATTTTGATAGTTTGACTTTAAAAGATAACTTTTTAATTTAAAAAGAAAAAAGAAAAACTCAATCACAGACTATATTATAAAATACAATATTTCTTTCTTTCTCAACTTTCTCAAAATTTGTCAAAAAGTACATATTATACTTTCCCGACCTATCTTAAAAGTCACAAAATTTTAATATTTGCCAGGTGGATAGCCATGCTTACATTTGTAGAGGGTACGCCTTTGATTGCGGTCAGGCAAGTTGTCTTCGTGTTAAAAACTTTGTTTGTTACCGAATTTTTATTTTCAAATACTTCTACATTCTTTTTATTACGACAATTCATTAGAAATTACATCTTAATTCACCTTAGTAATGTCCACCTAACATCATTCATCTAAATTCTTTTCACCCTATTCCCGTACAATGTCATGTACCAAACGCATCTTATGAGAAGTGTATTCGATCTAAACTTTTAAAGATTGGTATAATTTTGTATATTCTAGTGAATAGAAATATTGGCCACATGTCCTCCTCTAATCAGTGTTCTAAAAAACTTGTTTAGGCTCGCGCCTAGTCCTTTTTTTTCCCCAATTCTTAAACGGTTGAATTTTTTCCTCTCTTTTCATCTTCCTTAGGCACGCTTTAATAGTTTTTTTTAAAAAAAAATCATTTGACGATAATTTCAAAATTTTAAAAGATTTTTTATTTGTACAAAATTTAACATTAATTTTATCTAAATAGTAAAATAAGATTTAAGTTATGGTGCTGTCTACATTATGTAATTATGATCTTGACATTCGTTATTTTGTTGCAAATTCGAAAAGTATGTATGCAATTTCTATAAATCTATTAAATATGACATGTCTAATTGAAAATCGAAATTATGAAAAATATTTTAATTTTTACATTTCAAAAATTTGGAAATTATATAATTAACTAATGGTAGTAATTATTAAGTAAATATAATATTTTATAATTTTAAATGTTTGATATGTATTATTTTAATTATTAAATGATTTTAAAATGATTAAAAATTTAAAATAAGAAAACGTTTTTTTACATCTAAGCATCGCCTATGCTCGTAAAGCTTGAAATTTCGCTTCCACACCTAATCACGCTTTACATTTTTTAGAACAATGTCTCTAATTACACTGATTCTGTACTACGTTGATACCTTCTATAATTATAAATTTAGTACATATAATATTCTCTATTCGTAATTGACATATTCAATTGACTTTCTTGATAGCCTTCGGTTTCTTATTGCCTCTCTCTCATGGGTCACGATTAACTTGCTTCTTCCTGGTGAAAACCTAGATCTGCAGCCGCCGCCACCGTTGGTGGGGTTTATCAGCAACCATGGCTGAACCACCCGGCCATAACACAGCTCCCGCACCACCCAATTCGAACAACCAACCCCCTTCTCATGATAACCCAATTTCATATGCAGCAGCCGTTTCTTCTTCGCTTATTCGCCATGATCTTTCCTCTATACCGGTGATGGATGTTGCTGTTTCAATTAGACAGCCACAATGGAAGGAAGGGAAACCTGCAGTGGTTTTTTCCCATCTTGAACTACAGCGATCAGAAACTCCTCTGCAATATGCACTCATTGCCAAGTTCTCAAAATCTCGGCCTCGAATGGATATTATCAGACATCATAACAGCACCAAATAGGGGCTATCAGCTATTCCAATCGTAAGTTTAATTGATAGGCGCCATGTTTTGATTAAGCTTCGGAATGCAGAGGATTTCTCAAAAGCTTGGACACGAGATTCTCACTCTATTGAAGGTTCCCTTTTTCGTCTCTTCAAATGGTCAAGGGATTTTAACGCAAAAGAGGAGTCCCCAGTCACTCCTGTTTGGATTTGATTGCCTCTTCTTCCATTAAATTTTTGCATACCTTCTTATCTGCAAGCTATTGTGAAACCCCTTAGTAAGTATTTGGATACAGACCTGCCAACAATCACGTTTACTAGGCCTAGCTATGCCAAAGTCTGTATAGAAATTGATATTTCAGTAGCAAGGGATGATGTTATCTGGGTTGGATCAGATAGTGGTGATGGGTTCTGGCATGAGGTGGTTTACGAAAGATCTCCTAAGTACTATGTGCATTGCCGGCTGCACGGTCATGAGAAGGCTGAATGTAAGAGATTGGGTAAACAACATTACAAGGATTCTAAGCCTACAGACACTTTAAAAAATACTTCAGCACCTCCTGATAACTGGAAAGGATTGAAGGTGGATATACTAGAAGAGGGAGAAAAGGAACAGAACGTGAACGTTGCTAATGAACATGTGTTGGTCGCCCCTAATAACACTCATAATCTTAACTGCACCCCTACAGCAGAGGATTTTGTTGATTAGGATGACAGATAGGAAAATAAGTCACCCACTGAAGCACAAAATCAGGTTCAGGAAAACTGCACAGGAGAAAGAGTTCTAAATAACGTTTCAGGAGAGGCAGTTCTGCTCGCTGACACAGGAAATTCTCTAACTGGGGATTTTATACCAGTTAAAAGGAGAGCTTTGGCTTTACCTCAGAACATGATCCCCGCTCGAGAAATGGAGAGCATTCCTATAGGCAATTCCTTTGATGCTTTAGTTGATACTTTAAACTTAGAGGCTCCATGGCAAACTCGTAGTCATAAGACTTCACGACCAGAGAGGGATGAGGCCTACCACTCAGACTCTGATTCTCCAGACATCAGAGCCAACAACCGTCGTAATAGGAAGCTCAGTTCTATCTCTGACCGGCTGGTCAGAGATATCTCTCAATAATGTTTCTTATGAGTGCATTTCTTGTTTGGAATGCTAGGGGGGTTGGCAATGCAACTACAACCCGACACCTTAAATTGATTTCTAAAAAGTATAATATTGCTTTTTTAGCCATTCTTGAACCTATGTTGCCTTTTAACAAAGCTTCTCATTTTGCAAAAAAGTTAGGTCTCTCCCAGGTTTGCTCCAATGACTGTGAAGGAGGAAAGGTTTGGCTATGTCTCCCTGGCAATCATAGCTTCACAGTAGTGGGAGCTACAAATCAATTTCTAGCAGTTACTTTGGATTGGAAGGGAGTAACTGTAGTGTTGGTGGTAATCTATGCTAAATGTGATTATTTGTTGAAAACAGTGTTCATTTTGATCACACGCTAGATGCTAATCTCACAGCTCTAAAGGGGGAATTAGATAGACTTCTACTACAGGAAGAGATTCATAAACGACAACAGTCACGAGTTAAATGGTTGTCCTGTGCAGATAAGAATACTACATTTTTCCATGCCACTGCTAGGCAAAAGAGATCGAAAGCTATGATACGT